ACAAGATGGCATGGCAAAATCTCAAGCAACATAAGTGTGCCTTCTTCTAATTGGCTAGAAAGTAAAAACCTCTCACATCAGCATGATATTACAATATTTGGCCCTCCCCTTCCGAAATTCCCCTAAACCACAAGCAAGACATGAGATTTGGAGAATTTGGGAATTGCCACACAGCTTAGTTTGATCTTTAGGTTAGGTAAGCTTCTCTGGAATGTGGATGAGGGGTGAAGTTACAAGGGTGGAGGTCCAAATCAAAAGACAAGGGTGGAGGTTCAAGTCACAAGAATTTCTATAACCCAAATGACTGAGGTTACCTGAGTAAACTTGCAAGGGTAAGGAACAGTGAGGAGGAATGTTAAATCTAGCTTGATTAAGACTTAACAAAATAGAATGAAAAATCAATTTTCAATTTCACAGACAGAGAGGGAGATGGGGGAGGGAAGTAACACAGAGAGAGACACAGAGAGAGAGAGTCATTATAAAGATGGTGGCAGTATCAGAAGACAGAAGGGAGCATATGTGAGAGATGTTACAAAGGTAAGAGCGGCAACAGATTGGATGGGGTGGTGGAGGGTGGAGAGAGATTGAGGAGTCAAAGATGAAAAGGTTGTGAGCCTGGGTGACTAGCAGGATGGCAGCATTCTCAACAGTAGGAAAGTTAGGTTTAAAAGTATATCACTGAAGTCAAAATATCTAGAACCAAGAAAGATACTCCAGCTATACCTTGACTGGTCAAACCACAAGTATCTTGTGCTCAGTTCTGTGCATTACATTTTAGAAAGCTTATCAGCAAACTTCAGCAGAACCAGAGGGTGACAAGAAGGATGGCAATACTCATGATGGAAAATGCTATCCACAAAGAAGAAAGAACTATGGAGTTTGAATGCAGACCAAAGCATACTAACTGCTATTTTTTTCTTCTGTTGTGTTTTGTTTCCTCTTTCTGGTGGTTCTTCCTATTGGTTCTAATTCTTACCTACAACATCACTAATGTGAAAATATGTTTAATAGGAATGTATATGTATAGCCTATATCAGATTGCACACCATCTTGGGGAGGGAGGGGGAGAAAAATTTAAAACTCAAAAGTGTATAGAAGTGATTATTGATCATTCAAAATAAATTAATTAAAAATTTTTTAAAAAAGAAAAGACAGTAAAAAAAAAAAAACAACAAGGATGGCAATGGAAGCTGGAAACAATGCCAGATGAAAATCACTAGACAAACCTAGAGCTGTGTAGTATGGAGAAGAGGAACTTTTTGGAAGACACAATAGCTACCTTCAAAGATGTGAAGGACTAAACTTTAGAAATGGTGTTAAGTTTGCATTGTTCTGCTTGACTCCAGTGGGCAGGACCACCACCAGTGAACTGCAGAGATAAGAAAACCTCTTCCAGATAAAGACAACTTTCTTATAAATTAGAGCTCAAAGTCAAAAGGGCTGGCTCACATGTCAGGACGTGGCCCCTAACTGGAGATTTTTAAAAGTGAGATTTTTAAAAGGGAAAGCCATTACAAAGGCGATTCCTGGTTAGTAATGGCTTGGACTAGAGGTCTCCTAAGGACTCTTGCAGCTGTTGTTCTTGAAGAGGACCAATGCCATTGCGATGTTAGGTCAAGGTACAGTGTGTTCAACTGTGACTGTTCAGTCCAATATGAGTTCAGAAGGCTCCACCATAGATAGGGCACAAGTAGTCCATTGGAACATTTGGGATAGAAACATCTCTAGATTTGTGCATCTCATGTTTCCGTTGTGCCGCTGTGATTCTGCTTTGCTCACAAAGCACAGTGCCTTCTTTGATGTGGGCACCATGAAGGCATCTTATTTTGTATTATTGATTAGAGGCAATAAGGTGGAACAGCCAACAGAGTGCTGGACTTGAATCCTGCCTCATTTACTAGCTGTGTGAGTCTTGGAAAACTGCTTAACTACTCTCAACCTTAGTTTCCTCATCTATAAAATGAGAATAATAATAGTACCTACTTCACAAGGCAGTTGTAAGCATCAAATGAGATAATATCTGTTAGGTGCTTTGCAAACCTTAAAATGCTATATAAATGCTAGTTGTATGAGCAATAGCATCCCCCTCAGTGCCTAGCCCAGAACTTTGCACATGGTAGGTGTTTAATTAGTGGGCATTGCAATGAATTGGATACTCCAAATATCTTTCTGAAACCAGCAAGCAGAGTACTGAAGGGCTTGGAGGAAATTTCTATGATGCTTCTCCACCAACCGGAAGCTTTTCTAAGTAAACTATCTCCCCAGTTCTACATGGCAGGCCGGCTCTCCTAGAAGCTTTCAGGGGGTCCCCAGTTATTGGAGGGAGAATTCCTGCTAGAGAATCAGGAGTAGAATGAGCCGCAGGCTCTGCTGTAAGTCCTCCACTAAATAAGCAGTGAACAGCAAAACTTGGCTTTGAGTTACATCTGAGCTTTTTCAAAATAGGTTACGGCATAATTCACACAGTCATTCCAAAGGCTTGAGGGTTGTTTACAACTCTGAACTCTGGTGGAGTCTCCCAGGTCAAGATCGTGGTCTGGTTGGTGGTCTGACCACCAACACCACAGGTGTGTCAGGTCAAGAAGAGAAAAGAGCAAACATCTCTTTTTCTCTCACTAACCCAGCCTGGAGCCTGACTCAATAGTTTTGTCTCATGTTCTCCAACTGATCAAAAGGCAAGGGGCTCTTAACCTGATGTCCACAGACGATGGTTCAGGAGTTCCATGAGCTTGAATGGGGGAAAAATTTCCCTCTTTATTTTCACTAACTTTGAACTGAAAATTAGTGTTTCCTTCAATTATAAATGTTGGCAACAAAATATATTCTGAGAAAGGGTCTTTAGGCTTCACCAGATTGCCACCATGGTCCATGACACAAAAAAGATTAAGAACCAATCACTTAAGGTCAACTATATTTCCAAAATAGGATAACTAAAGTTTCCCAAGACCAAAGGCCAACATATTGATCCAGACCTCCTGGGAATCCCAGGAACAATTCAAAATTTATTCATTTATCCATTCTACAAACATTTCTCAAACACCTGCTATTTGCAAGCACTATTTACACCATTCCTTATGTCCTTATAATCTAATAGGTGAGATAAGATATGTATATGATTAACTTTAATTAATTAATTCACTTTGCTTGGCAGGCTATGTGCAGAGCACTTGTGGTAGGCACTGAGGGAGATAATAAAGACAAGACAGGATCTGGTCCTAACCTCAGGGAGCTCCAGCCTAGCAGAACGATGTAACATAGGACCACACAAACAGCTATGGTAAAAAATGAAAACATGGTAGATTCAGAGGGGTGGTACAAAGCATTATGGGAGTTTAGCAGAAGCACCAAGTCAGAGGACAGGAAGGAGTCCTGTGGCCAGCAGCAAATGAGAACCGTGCTCAGCGCATCCTTAATCGAGATAACTATCTGGAACCACAATTGCATCTCCATCTGACCTCTGAGTCATGATCAAATCCATGCTCTCCCTGCACCTCCTGCAACCCCAAACCTAACTTACTTACCTGACCTTCCTAGCCCTCACTTGATACTTCTCCCTCTGCAGGCTGAGATGCCACCAGAGGCCATGTGTTCTTACTTATTAAGTCCTGATGCATTTATCTCAAAAACACAGTCACAGAACCTGGAGTCATCCCTTCATCCATGAGAGGCTCAGATTCCCTCGTCATCAACATAACACAATGAAAGGACAACATGGAGATAAGTTGGAAATGGAAATATAGATTTAGAAGTGATCTGTTTAGAGATGATAATTGAAGCCAGGGGAGTAGATGAGTCCATTAAGAAATGTGTTGGGGGCAGCTAGGTAGCACAGTGGATAGAGCACCAACCTTGGAGTCAGGAGGACCTGAGTTCAAATTCAGCCTCAGACATGTGACTCTGGGCAAGTCACTTAACCCCAATTGCCTCACCCAAAAAAATAGAAAAAAGAAAAGGAAAGGAAAAAAAAAGTAAATGTGTTGGATTTGGAGTCAAGAAACCACACTTAACTGTTGTGTGAGTGTGGACCAATCCTTTAATCCCCGTGAGCTTCTGTTTCTTTATCTGTCAAATGAAGACAGCAACACTTGTCCTACCTATGTCATGGGAATGTCACTGAGAAAGTTCTCTGTAAAAACCTTAAAGCACTATATAAATGTGAGTTAGTAGCAGTATAATCATTAGTATAATAACGAATTAGCAATATTAGTAATTATTGATTATTATTAATGATTGCCATTAATAATAATAATAATCACCATCAAATTTTGTTGTCATCTTTGTTATTCCTTTCTGGTCCCTTTACATGGACTCTTGGACCCAGAAAGGATCTCAGTAATCACCCAGTCCAATGATTTTAAACCCAAATCACATGTTTACATTTGTAGTACTCAACAAACTTACTGCAATTCTCCCCATCTTGTATTTCTTGACAAAGGTATTAAAATGATTACAGTCATGGGGGGGGTAGTGTATAAGAGGATCTTGGGTGCTGCAGGGCAGCCTTCAGAAGGCTGAGGTTCAAGATCTAGTCAAGCTCCCTCATTTAACAGAACGAGGAAACTGAGGCTTGATGAGAAGTGACCTACCTAAAACCACCCAGCAAATCTGTGGTGAAACTAAGAGGCAGAACCCAGATCTCTAACTTCTAGCCCTTTGCATCATACTGCCTTTTGTCAACCAAAATCCATTCTTCAATGCTAAGCAGGCTATTTGAGTTTGGAAGGCCCTGTGGTGTTGCAGAAGAAGCCCCGAGCTCGGGAGTCAGACAGAATAGCTGTGTGGTTTCGTAGACGTCACGTCCTCTGTCTGGGCGTCAGCTCCGGTCAAATGGAGAGGATAATACTCGCCCCAGCTGCCTAACAGGGATGCTGTTTCTGAAAGCTGCGAATCTGATTAACTGTGAACATGTGTATACTGCTTGTTATGATTACCTCAGTTTCTCCAGCTGCCCACCATGGGCTTTCACCAACAGTAGACAGACTCTCTTCCTAGGTTCTCACCTGTTCGGGCAACCAAGTGCGTCCACCCACTCCACACCACGGTGACCTTTTCATTCTGGAAACAAGCGGCTTCTATTTTCTGGGGCGTGGGAAGAAAAGCAGCTGGGCTCACTAGCTGGCCGTGTTTGTTGCTACCCCAAACATACAGATCTCCTTCATCTGAAACAACCAAAGGGAGGAATGGATTAGCACAAAGCAAAGTCAGCCACCAGAATGCCGGAGGAGAGAGGCTGACAAGCCACTGCTCTGTCTCCATTGGGATGTTCAAACAAATCATCCCCTCCATCTTCTCCCCGCTCATTAACCAATAACACAGCCCGACAATGACCACTTGGGTGCTTGGTTACCCTCAGCCGGGATGGCTTCTTTGCATTAGCTGGGGTGACCTTCAGAGAGAGAGTAAGCCTGGCAGGGACAGCCAGAGGGGCTGACGTAGAGGTTTTCTTGTGGCTTCCCTCCCACTCCTGGAGCAGAGGGAGCAGGAGGCCAGTTAGAAGCCCTTTACAATTCAAGTCAACGAGCATTTATTTAGCACCTGATGTGTACAAGGCACTGGGCTAGGTGCTAGAGACACAAAGACAAAATGAAAACTCTCTTCCTCATTCATTCCCTGCCCTGAAGGAGTTTATATTCTACTGGGGGGAGGGAGCTGGGAGGGATGGTACATGACATTGAGAGGAGAGAGTGCTAGCCACTAAGGGAATCAAGGAAGGCTTCCTGTAGGAGGGAGCACCTGAGTTGAGCCTTGAAAGCAGCTAAGGATTCTTACAGGTGGAGGTAAAGCAGGAGGTGGGGGGGCGGGGTCTATACGAAGGCACAAAAGGAGGAGGTGAAATACAAAATGACATGCGGCCATTTTGGGTGGAAGAGAAAGTCTGTGGAGGTGAGCAGGTCTGGAAAGACAAGGTGGATGCAGGTAGGCCATTTAAAACCCAAACCTCCAAGGTGTGCTCAGGGGCCCAAATGCAGCTACCTAAGGTATTAAGTATTCACATATGGGAGCATGTATATGTGCATGCACACATATACATACACACATACACACACACACACATTTTCTCTAATTCATTAGTATGAACTAGTAAAGGAACCTAGGGCTCTGGATTTGAAGTCCTGGGTTCAAATCCCACCTCAGACATATACTAGCTATGTGACTAAAGGTAAGTCATTTAACTTCCCTGAGCCTCAGTTTCCTCTTCTGGAAAAGGGGAACTGGACTCAATGGTCCCAAGGTCTGTTCCAGCTCTAAAACTATGACTTCATGTGCATCTACCACTGTTAGACTAAGGGCCACCAGGTGCCACCAGGGGTCAAGGTCAGTCCATTAGTAAACTGTACCACAGACTCTTAGAACTGAAAAGGACTAGAGAGGGGACCTAGTTAACTGCATACCTAAACAGAAATTCCCTCTGACAAAGTCATTCAATGTCTGTTTGAAGATCACTAGGGGCCGAGAGCCCCTCACCCCCCACCCCGACTACCTCCAAAGGAGGCAGCCCCCTCCACTTTGGGAGAGCTGTCATCGTTAAGAAGTTTTTCCTTACATCAAGCCCAAATCTGCCTCCCCATAACTGAAATCTGTTATTCCCAGTTCTGCCTTGTGGGGACCAAATAAAACAATTCCAATCATCATTATTGTCTTCTGAATGATATCTCACTAGATCTAATCCTTCCTGCCTCAGAACAGGCATCAACTATGAGAAGCCAGGGGATCACCGTCTCCCTCACCCCCAGCCCTGATAAGACTTTTCTTCTCCAGGCTCAAACTTTTCTTTGACTGTAACTGAAACTGCATGGAATTAATTGTGTAATTAAATTCTCATGGCCTACAATGGATTGCTGGTCACAAGATGCACTCCTGGAAAACTCAGATGCCCCTGCTTCACAATGACTGACTGATTCCACTGCTGACTTAACCTTGTATCTGCATCAACAATATTTGTAACAGGGCCTCCAATGAATGTTTGTTGAATTCAAAACAGACTTTCATTTTTCTTAATATTTATAAATCACTGAATAAAAAGAGATTTGTACACTGGGTTGTTCCAAGGAAAAGGCTTTGTAAATCTTAAAGTGCTATACAAATGTGAATTATTATCATAACAAAAAACATATTACCAAATGAATTACAATGAATTTCTGATGGAATAAAACACTAGCATGCAATAAAGAGCCTTGGCACCTTTCCAGGTGAAAACAATGGTATACTTAGTAAAATAATTAGAGTAAAATGGAAACAACCCCCAATCTTTTCCTAGCCTCATTCCCAGAAGATGGAGAAGCAGGAAAAAAAAAAGAGGGAGGAACAAATATGTACAGCAGTCACTATAACATAAAAAGAAACCATCCTGAAACACTTCAGAACTTAGTGATGTGACCAAACATAATTTCAATGGATAATAAGTGAAGAATGCCTCTCACTTCTCAGTAGGAAGGCAGTGGACCACAGGTACAGAATGAGGTATCCACTGTCAGACATGGTGGATGTGCTGATCTGTCTAGTTTCGCTGTGTTTCTTTGTTGTGACAAAGTGTTCCTTTTTTGAGGTGAGAGACAAGTCACTTGGAAGTGATAATATAAAAAAAAGAAGTATCAATAAAATATGTATAATTTAAATTTAAAAAGAAAAGGTCTGCTCACAACACAGTGAGATGCTAGTAAAACTCTGAATTGTCTAAAGTCATTAACAGAGATACATCATTCAAAAATTAGTGGGCATTTATCACTCATCTTTTGTTTCTCATACTCCAAAGGGAAAGTGTCTACCCATCAACACCAGGACCTCAGCTGGGCCTCCTGGATCAGCTTGGTGAAGACCCAAAGTGGACATCCCACCAGTCCTGACATGTCCTCCGAACATGGGTGAGTTTTGCCCATAGGTAGAAAGTCTTGGTGCTGGGAAAGCTAAGTGAGAGGGTACAGCCATACCAAGAGTGGGGTGGCCAGGGTTTTCAATCAGGTACTGATGTTCCCTTCCTCCCTGCAGTAATCTAGAGACCACTCTCCCCACACCTCCCAGTTTTCCACCAGTCCATACCCCTGAAGGTTCTTGGAGGAACAAACAGGCCTCAGGTGTGGATGCTGGGAGAGGGAGAGGGTAGTGACTGGTTAGTGGCCCTCCCATTCTCCAGGCACGACTGTTGGACTTTCCTGAATTCCTCATCTTCTTCCTTCACTCCCAGCCATTGGTGGTCAACAGGATTCTCAATCATAGCTCTATGGGGTAGGCTAAATTCATGCCACAAAACTCAGAATTAGATGAGTCACACACACACACACACACACACGCACACACACACACATACATACACCCCACCTCTCTGGGCGATGGTTTTCATTCTGTCAATAGGTGGCAGCAAATACCAAATACAAATGGCGTAAGGCTCGGCAAACCCTTGAACTGGAAGGGACCTTCTATGTCATAAAATCATAATCCTACGAATCACTGAATTTAGGGCTAGAAGGAACCTTAGAGATCCAGTTCAACCCCCTCATTTTACTGATGACCAAAATGGAGGCCAGAGAGATGAACTGCCCAAGGTCACACTAGGGAAGAAAAACAAAAACAAAAAGAAAAAGACCGAACTGGAGTGGAAGCCAGTATATGTGACTCCACATACACTGTTCTTTTCTCTGAACTGTGCCTTGGCTAGTCCAGCCCTCCCATTGTTCCCCACCCCAAGAAGGACGGATAGGGCTGAGTACGTCAGACATTATTACCACGTTGGGTAACAATGCATATAACCAAATCCAAAAGAGTTATAGCAACAGAATCTGTACCCACCTGTTAATGATGCTGAGTGGCAGGAGCCAGTAACAACCATCTTTACTTTTAAGTTTTCCAGGCCTAGAAAAGAAACAGGTAACAATGAAAATCAGCCCAGCTGTAGCTCCCTCCCTTCTTTGCAGAGGTGGGGAACTATGGGAGAGTAACACTGCTTATACTGTGAGATTCGGCTGATGTACTGGTTGGCTTTGCTAAATTGCTTTTTTTTCCCTCTCTTTTTTAAATTACTTGTTAGAAGGGATGGCTTACTAGGGAGGATAGAGAGAATGTTATATTCTGAAATTAAAGGGACATAAAAACAAGAGAGATCAATAAAAACAGTGAAATAAAATCGGCCGAATGTCAACTTCCATAGCTCCCTTCACAGAGAAAACCTAACATTGGGATGGGGTAAAAGTGTGAGGATGGAAAGAGGAAAGGAAACTGAGGGTGGAGAGGTACATCCTAAGATAGTCCTGAAGAATGAGTTCTGGAGAGAAGGGAAATCATAGAATCATAAAATCTCAGCTGGAAGGAACTTCAGAAATCTAGTCCAACATTTAATCCAACAAGTACCTAAACAATAATTCTTTCTACCATATACCCAACAAATGATCATTTCCCATTCCCTGGAAGACCTCCAATACTGGAGAGCTCATTTCCTCCAGAAGCAGCCCATTCTGTCTTGGGAAAGCTTGATTTGTTAGAAATCCTTCCTTAACGCTAGCTGAAGTCTCTCTCTACCTTCCACCCCCGGCTCCTATTTCTGCTTGGACCCAGAGGGCAGAAAATATCTTCCACATGATCATCCTAACTTGACAGCAGCTATCATGACCTCTCTCCCACCCCAACCCCAACAAGGATCTGTGATTTCACAGGTCTGGTAGCATTCTCTTCCCCTCATGAAAATCACATCCCCTCTATGCCTTCTCTTCTCTAGTTTAACAATCATATGACCTCAGCTACAGGTTTTCAATGTAATGAGTTAAACGGAGAGTAATCACAGTTCAGAAGCTTTGTCTCCTAAGAAAAAAGGATTTACTCAGCTACCCTTTACCATGGAAACTTGCAGCTTTGAAAAGTCAACCTGAACCAAAGAAATTCTGACATTTCTAACCCTGCTTTTTGTCATGCTATCTATCTGGTGATGTCACACTTGCTGTCTGACTCTTCCTGCTCATCCAAATACAATAACGGCTAGGTTTGCCTTGGCAGAAGGAGGCTAGATCACCAAGAGATTCTATCTGCCTGACAATCCATTGTCCTTTCTTGAAATTGTCTGCCTGAAATTCAATAGATGAGCTAAATGCCACAACTCAGCAAAATGGAGGGGGGAAATGTGACATTCTTACCAAGTGCCCCATGGTGAAGATTCATTCCCTACATGTGCATGGGTCTAGAACAGCACAGTTTGGGTCAAAAGAATAATTGTACAGTTCTTGACAGAATGAAAGTAACTCACCAGTTACTCTGCAAGGTTCTTTGGCCATCAGGAACGGTGGGAGGGGCTTCTCTGGGCATGCTCGCCGCCCTGTGGATGCCAGGCCTGTACCCCATTGGAACACCAGGCCACTCTCTTCAAGTGGAACAGAAGAAGGGAAGTAAGCAGGTGAGGGAGGAATTCATACTTCTCTGTTATACCTAGATCTCAAACCAGAAAACAAGGTTCTAATCCCAGTTCTGCCATGGGAGTACTCCCCATGGAAACCTGGCCAAGTCACTTCTCTGGGCCTCATCTAGAAAACTGGATCTTTGGCCTAGATAACCCCTAAGAGCCCCTCCTTCTCAAAAGTTCCCTGATTTCTATCTTCTATCGAGACTATTGTAATTTTATTACCATTCTAGAAATACTTTGATACAAAAAGTCCAAGGGCTATGGCTAATAACAAACCTGACACCCTTTGATATAGTCCAAAGTACACTGAAGAAAGTAGTCACGAATAAAATGCATCTCTACCACCCCCAAAAAAGCCATGGAAAATAACCCAGATGTCCAACTTCATATTTTCAACAGTCTCCTGAATATCTTGACCTGAGTGTCCCACCAACACACCTACCTCAAAATATCTAAAACTAAATCCATCACATTTTCCTCTAAATCTAAGGCAGTTAGGTGGCACCACAGACAGAGTTCTGGGTCTATAATTGAACCCACCTCAAAGACCTGCTGTGAGGCTCAAATGAAATAAGTAAATTGCTTTACAAACTATATGTATGTGTATATACATGTATGTGTATGCATATGTATATATGCACACGTGTATAAATATATTAATACATACACATATTCATATGTGTATGTATATATGCATGTATACATATGTACGGGCATATTGTGGATATTTTAGTGATGCATTTTATTTATGTTATGTATGTTATATTATGCATAATATATTTACATGGATGGATGGATAGATAGATGATGGATGGATAGATGGGTAGATGATAGATGGATAGATGGATGGAAAGATGATAGGTGTATAGATAGATGATAGATGGATAGATAGGTAGATAAGTTGATAGATAATGGATGGAAAAATGATAGATGGATAGATAGATGATAGATGGATAGAAAGATCAATAGATCAGCAGATGGATAATGGATGGAAAGATGACAGATGGATAGATAGATGATAGATGAATAGATAGGTACATAGGTAGGTAGATAGATAGATAGACAGACAGAAAAGAGAGATTAAATGTTGCTTCATCGACTTCAGAACTCGGAGTGAGACAGTTGCAGGCACACCTTAGGTGACGGTTCACAATACAGGTGGAGGTGAAGCAGGGGGGGGGGGGGGGGGGGGGGGGGGGGGCTGAGAAAAAGCATTGCTTCTAGTGCTTTCAGTGAATTCCCAGGTGAGAGCTACAGCAGATGGAGGCCACACAGCCAAGGCCTATTGGTACCCTACCCTTCCTTAGAACTTTTTCTTTCCTTCACTCTCTTTACTCCCACCACTCCAGAAAGAAAGATAATCTTGGCTAAAGCTATTAGTATTCCCATCTAGATCAAAGGAGATGAGAAAAGAATGGAAAAAAAGGAAAACAAGGACGGTTCTTAAAAAGTTTCTCCCCTACCTTCAACCCTTCCCAGGCTCACCTACCCCCATCTACTACAATGTCTCCTATTACACCCCTCCCCCCAAACACCACCACATCTCCTTTCAGCATGGACAGAGAAGAGAAGATCACTTGCAATTTTATTCTTTTTTTAATTAAATAATCCATTCTCACCCCTCAAGATCTCCCCTGAAGGACTTTCCTAAATGGAGAGTCAACATGGTATAACAGAGTATTGGATCTGCTGGAGGAAAGATCTAGATTCTAACACTCATTGGCTGTGTGGTGACCATGGGTAAACCACAGAACCACTCTGAGCCTCAGTTTCCTCATCTGTAAAACAGGGATAATAACTGTACTACCAACCTAATGGGATTGTTTTAAGGCTTAAATGAAATAGTGTTCAGAAAATTGCTTTGAAAACTTTAAAAGTGCTATATAAATGGCAGTTATTATTATGAGAGCTGAGTCTCCCATTCAGTGCCCCTTCCTTCTTTGTTTTATTGGTTGATTCTTTCTGATTAGGGCTGCAATACATACAGCAAGATCACACAGGACTTAGAGCTAAAAAAGACGTCAGAGGTCATCAGATTCAACCCCCTCGTTTTCAAGCTGAGGAAACTGAGACCGAAGAGGATAAAGTGACTCGCCCAGGACCACACAGCTAAGTCACTATCAGAGGCAGGATTTGAACTCGGGTCTTCCTGACTCCAAGTCCAGTACTGTATCTCCATTATGCCACCTAGGGCCTATCTGAGCTGGGATCTGAATTCAGTTCCTGTGAGTAAATTTCAAGTTCAGTTGTTTCTTCACTGGACTCTGCCGCCTTCTCCTACATATCCATTCTGGCACAATTAGGGTTTCTCCCCAAAATGTAAATTAAAACAAAACGATCACCTGTAACAGCCAGAGCATGCCTCATTCCAGCTGCGATACACACAACCTTCTCGCTCAGGAGCTGTTGGAATCAACACACAGGATTTGGAACCACATTTAGAAATTGAAAAAAAAAAACAGGCATTTCAGAAAAAAAAATTTAGGAAGCCTTTTATTTAGGCTTGTTTTTTTAAAAGAAACCTGAAATAAAAACCATTCTGTGAAAGTGAATGATCAACCCTGATCCCCCAACTGCACACAGGTAAGAGAAAGGGAATAAGCATTGGTGCAATACCTACTATATGCTAGGCACTGTGCCAAATGCTTTACAAATATTTTCTCTTTTGATCCTACAGCAACCTCTATTTTACAAATGAGAAAACTGAGGCAAACAGGTTAAGTAATTTGCCCAGGGTCACACAGCTACTAGGTGTCTGAGGGCAGATTTGAACTGAAGTCTTCCTGACTCCAGGCCTGGTTCTCTATTCTTTACATTGCCTTGCCAATACTGCTAAGTCAGGACTTAGCCACAAGCTGAGGCAAAAGCCTGAATTCCCCCATACAAGGCCATTCCCAAGCCAGGAGGGAGGCTTGCCTATTTCAGTCCCCAGTCTCATTGTCAGCATTCATTCCAAACACACTGATAGATGAACTTCAAGAAAATACAGTTAACTTGCTGTGATATTCATGGTGATGCTAGGTTCTAAGGGCTTACCTCTATGACTCGGGGGGTCACCTGTCTTCTGGCCCCAGGAGGAAGGCCTAACTGACCAAATGCATTCGAGCCACATGACAGAACCTGCCCATTTTCTGTAAGATTAAAATACTGGAGTCATGAAACTAACGGGGGAGATATTGGAGACCATCAGATCAATGCGGTCAGAGTCCCTGTATTACCAGGGTCCCTAACCACTAGAAAAGGTCTCAAAGATAAGGAAGTTCCTGGACTACTAGGCATTTTCCATTAAATTGAACAAACATTTAACGAATGCCTACTATCTACAATATTACTGAGAACAAAAGCACTGGAGATGCAGAGAAGAGTAAGACATGGCCCCAGAACTCAAGATGCATTAAGAGACAAACGGTAAGAAAGCCTGATAAGAGACTATGGAAGAGGCTTTAAATCCCGTCCACCACTCAAGATTGAGCTTGCCAATGAGCTCTGGGCTGCCCTAATTCAAAAGGCAGCAGAAGCCCTCGGGCAGCTGTCAGAGCGATCATTACCCAGGCCTCTCCAAGCTGCCTCACAGATTTTGTCAGTCTTCAGCACTATCTCAGCATTACTGATCCAGCCTAGCCAAATATTCCCTTGCTTTGTCCCCTAGTATTTAATCCCTCATAACTCAGACTTTGAGATTATATAATTCTCAACCAGCACCACTGACCATCATAGAATCCTTAGGCAGAAAGAAATCTCCAGAGGTCTTCTAACCATTCCCTTCTCCCCATCCTGACCCTGCCTGCATACCTTTAAGTCTTACCCAGGAAAAGCAAACCTTTCCTGCCTCTGAAAAGGGACATTTCAAAGCAAAGAGTCATACTATCAAAGCTCCAACTATCATCTGGCTCCTCCTCAGATTTCCTCATCTAAGAGAAATATCAGTAAGTGTTACCTGTGAGCAGAAGTGTAAAATCCCAACCACAGGACACCTGGAGGATAGGCCAGCCAGCCAGCGGGGTGCAAGGGATAAAAGACAGAACATCCTCAGTGTGACCAAGTCCCAGCTGCCCATCTTTGTTCAGGCCACAAACAAAAACCTCCCCTCCATCTGCAAAGCAGAAAATTTCCGGTGAGCACCTTACCAAAGCTTCAAAGAGATTTCTTTCTTTCCCCACCCCCAAAGGGGATTTCAATTAACTGAAGCTCTCACATAGAACAACAGCTTTCTTCTCCCTTTTTTTTTTTAAAAAACGAGTAAATAATTTTAGCATGCATGGGAACCAAATATATAAAGGGAGTTTCCAAGCACAGATATTCTCAGGCCTCCCTTGGAGCAAGAGAATCTAAGAAAACCATGTCTTAGTAGATTAAGTGCTGGACTTTAAACCAGAAAGAACTGGGTTTAAATATCATGGCTTAACTTTTCTAAAGCCTCGGTTTTCTCATCTGCAAAATTAAGATAATAATGACTGCAGTACCTCCTCTATAAGATGGCTGTGAAGTTCTAATTAAAAAGTGTGTTTTGCAGGCTTTAAAATACTATAGAGAAGATGGTGGATTAGAGGCAGCAACCTAGCCACATTCTCCCAACATTTCCCACCAAATAACTTTAAAATAATGCCTCAAATTGAATTTTGGAGCAGAAGAGGCAACAAAATGTTTTTTTCATTTTTCCAGCCTAAGACAACTTAGGAGGTCAGTAACGGAGGTGTAGGACACTGGGATGGACCTGGAGTGCATGTGGTGGTAACAGCAGCAGCCTCAGGAGCTCACAAGCCAGAGACAGTAAGGAGGTCAGACAGCTGGTCAGAAAAAAATTAGAGGGAATGACCCTGTAATCAGCTGGTGCTGATTGCAACTCTATTGCCCATAAGCAGGTCTGAATCACAGTTCTAGAGCAGAGGGGAACACTGTAGTCTGTCACAAGGGAGCAGTGACCCTGGTCACTGACCCAAAGCAGAGAGGAACAGTAGTGCAAGCAGATGACCTGGTCACAGTTCCGGGGCCAAGAAGAGCACTAGCACTTGTGACTGCAGGGGAACAGAGGCATGTCTTGGGTAAAGACAAAAGCCCAGCCTAGGAAGGCAGTAACCACCCCTCTCCCCAGATTGCACCACCTTGGAAGCACTGAAAATTAGCAGACCCCCAGAACTAGCTCTGAAAACAGCAGCACAAAAAAAGCCTGACGCTTGTGACACTGCCTCCCCACACCCAGGTGAGCAAAGACAACTTTAACATAAAGTTCACAGTCAAGAAATGGGCTGGGAAAATGAGCAAACAGCAAAAATAGAACTTGACCATAAAAAAGCTACTATGGTGGCAGGGAAGACCAAGACATAAATTCAGAAGAAGAGAACAATGTGAAAACAGCTACAAGCAGAGACTCAAAGAAAAATGCTAATTGGACCCAAGCCTAACAAGAATTCTTGGATGAGTTAAAGAAAGAGATAAGAGTGGTAGAGAAAAAAATTAGGAAAAGAAAGGAGAGTGATGCAAGAAAATTATGAAAAAAGAATTGACAACTTGGCAAAAGATCACAAAAAAAGCTAAAAAAAACACCTTAAAAAACAGAACTGGAAGGGACAGGTAGATGGCACAGTGGATAGAGCGATGGCGCTGGAGTCTGAAGGACCTGAATTCAAATCCAGCCTCAGACAGATAACACTTACTAGCTCTGTGACCCTGGGCAAGTCACTTAACCCCAATTGCCTCGCCAAAAAACAAACAAAAAAAAAAAATAGAACTGGCCTAACTGTAAAAGAGGCACAAAAATTCACTGAAGAAAACAACTCCTTAAAGAGCAAAATAGGCCAAGTGGAAAAGGAGGCACAAAAATTCATTGAAGAAAATAATTCCTTAAAAATTAGATTTGAGCAAGTGGAAGCTAATGACTGTATGCTAATACTGAAAGGGATGAGGGAAAATAGGTACATCAATGAACTGTTGGTGGAGTTGTGAACTGGTCTAACCATTCTAGAGAACAATTTGGAACTATGTCCATAGGGTTATAAATCTGCAAACCCTTTGAGCCCCAATACCACTACTAGGTCCATACCCCAAAGAGATCAAAGGAAAAGGAAAAGGATGTATATGTACAAAAATATTGATAGTAACTCTTTTTATGGTGGCAAAGAATTGGAAATTGAGGAGATGTTCATCAATTGGAAAATGGCTGAACAAGTTGTGGCATATGATTGTGATGGAGTACTATTGTGCTATAAGAAATGACAAGTAGGAAAACAGAAAAACATGGGAAGATCTATATGAACTGATATGAAGCGAAGTGAGCAAAACCAAGAAATCATTGTGCACAGTAATAGCAACATTATAATGATAATCAACTGTGAAAAACTTAGCTACCCTGATCAATACAGTGATTCAAGAAAATTCCAAAGGACTCATGATGAAAACTGCTATCCACTTCCAGAGAAAGAACTAATGAATTCTGAGTGCAAATTGAAGTATAGTTTTCTCATTCTGTTTATTTGTCTTGCTTTTTTGTGTGTGATATAGTTAATATAGAAATATGTTTTGCACGATTTCACATTTATACTTGATATCATATTGCTTGCCTTCTCAGTGAGTGGGGAGGGGTAGTAGGAAAAAAATTTGGAAATCAAAGTTAAAAAAATGTTAAAAATAAATTTGTTGGGTTATTTTTCAGTTGTGTCCAACTCTTCATGACCCCATTTGGAGTTTTCTTGGCAAAGATATTGGAGTGGTTTGCTGTTTCCTTCTCCAGCTCATTTTACTTATAAGGAACTGAGGCAAACAAGGTAAAGTGACTTGCCCAGGGTCACATAGCTAGTAAGTGTCTGAGAGTGAATTTGAACTCAGAAGATGAGTCTTCATGACTTCAAGCCCTACACTCTATCCACTGTACCACCTACTGCCCCTAAAAATAAATAATATATATTTTTAAACTTAAAAAAAAGAAAAAGGAAGTGAACTGAACTTGGAATCATGGATCTTAAAAAAAATAATAAAATTTATTTGTTTTACCAAAGAAAAGCACTATAGAAACATCAGCTGTTATTCAGATCAGGGGTTTTTAACCTATAGTTCATGAACATTTTTTAAACATTTTGATAACTGTATCTCAATATAACTGCTTTCCTTTGTAATCCTACATATTTTATTTTTGCATTTAAAACAGTATTCTGATAAGGGGTCCATAGGCTTCACCAGACTGTCCAAGGAGTTTGTAACACACAAGACATTAACTTCTGACTTAGTTTTCTCTGCAAATATCAATGGAGGAGGGGGGAGAGAAGGGTTCTAATTTATAGTAGAGTAGAAAGAAAATTGGAATTATCATCAGACTGCCTGTGTCACTGTCTGCAAGTCACTTCCCCCTCTGGGCCTCAGTTTCCTCATCTGTAAAATGAGGGGCCTGAACAAGATGATCACTACAGTCCCTTCCAGTTCTAAATACTGCGAGCCTGATGGCATTTGGTCTTCAAAGAAGGCAAGTCCTGCAGGTTACCTGTGACCACAGCTGAGTGTCCCCCTCCTCCGGTCAGCATCTTAATACTCTTGGGGTCACAGAAATCATTCAGCCGTTGGGGCTCAAGCACATCCTCCTTATGGCCAAGGCCAAGCTGTCCATAGCTATTTGCCCCCTGGACACAAAAGAGAACCGTAACAGGAGAAAGTGAGCCCCTAAACATGAATGTGTGTGCATCTGTACCCTGAGAGCACCACACAGGTACAGCCACCCCTCACTCTGTAGCCTGGGAAGGGCAGTCAGAACCTCCCTCTACCCTCCACCCCTTGCAACGGCCCTTAAATCCCCACTTAGGAAGACAGGACACCTTTCTTTTCCTCCATATCCTATAGTCTCACACCATTGCAACCACTTTCACCAGTTAAAAAAAAAAAGGTGGGGGGGTGGAATGGGGGGGAAGAAATGCTGACTGCTCTGGGTATGTTTATGAGAAGAGAAACCCAAACCAGCACTAACAGCTGCTCTAGAGATTGGTATTCACCGAAGTTTGCACGAACCCTTGGTAGCTGTCTTAAAGCAATTAAAAGATGAGGGAAAGTGCATGGATTTGTCGAGCCGGGCTCTAGAAAGCAGAACTAGAAAGAAGAGGAGGCAGATTTGGGCTTGACGTAAGAGGAAAACAACCTAACAAAGATCTGGCAAAGCAAGAGCTCTCCAGTGGGTTGCTTTCAGCAGAGGTCTTCAAGCAGAGGAGACATAACCACTTGTTGGGTCTGTTGTACAGAATTTCTCTTGGGAGGGTAGAGATTGGACTTAATGATATCAGAGGTCCTTTCTGGGAGGCTACAACCCCCGCCACTCAAACTACCTGCCTCTGAAACAAGCCTGGGTCTATAGTTTATCCAAGGCTGGCTCCCCAGGGCAGGAGCACGGGGGTCGCTGAAGGTGAAAGCATCCCTTAAAAAGAAGGGGCCCTCCCAGGGCAGAGAAGGGTCTTCCACATTTTAGGTTCTGTAGACAAAGAAAGGCCCCGATGTGCACGCAGTCCTAAGGCAGGGTCTCTCTCACAGGGAGCCTCCATAGCCCAGCGAGTCCTGCGTCCCTGGCTGTCTCCCCGTGCAACCTCGGTAAGAGCCCACTCGATCCCATCCCGCTGCACCTTCCCATGCCTCTGGACCCCGGCCCTCCCCATCCCGGCCCTCCAGACCCCCGAAGGACTCCAGCCGTCCCCTACTCCCAGAGCCTGTCCATCTACCCTCCGGCCCCGGGACCCTGGGGGCAGCCCCTGGAGGAGTCAGGTACCCAGCTTAGGAGCAAAGTCACAGTCACCGCGGGGGCCCGGGCCGGTGCAGGAGCCCCCTCCCCCTGGCTGGGCTCACGCTCCATGCCTCCAGCACACTCCACAGCAGCGGTCTGCTCCTCCGGGGCTTCCGGGTGTGGGTCCGCCCCGGAGCGGGCGGAGCTTTGCTTTGACGTAAGAGGGAAATCTTTAAACAATGAGCTCTCCCAAAGTGGAAGGGGGCGGTGGCTTAATCTCAGCCAAAGTCTTCAAGCGAAGGCTTGGATGATCCCTTTTGCGGTCCTTCCTTGAGTATTTCTCTTGAGAAGGTATAGAGGGGACTCAGTGGCACCAGAGGGAGGTCCTTTCTGGGAGGGCATAACCTCTGTCCACTCCCCTGAAGCTCAGTGACTCCCTGCCTTGGAAACAAGCCTGGGTCTATGGTTTCTGTAACGTCGGCTTTCCAGGGCTGGAGCACAGGGGGCCCCGCAGGCGAAGCCACCTCTCAATGGTATAAAAGAAGTTTTCTAGCAGACTTCAAGGAGCCTGCAGGCGATGCTTGGGGAGATGGAGGTGAGAGACGATGCGGGGACGGTGCCTGCTGCACTGAGACTGAGGACACAGGGAGTCACTGAGATGGACACCGGAAGCACCCGTGGGCCCATCCTCGCCACGGCCGGCATACTCGGCTGAGGCTAAAGAATTGTCCAGGTGGTTCAGACGAGAGTGCGATTGATGCCTGTCAATCCAGGAGCCCCGGCACCGGAGGCAGTCAGCCTTCTCCAGCTCGGACCATCCCCCAAGGGCTTCAGCTTGAGATCCATCTCTTCAGAAAGCCTTCCTGAACACTGTGGTCCGCATTGGTCTCTCCCTACCTACCCCCTATGTTGTCTGCACCCTTTAAAAGCTGCCTTTCAAATCAATCAAAAAGCACTTACTGTTCACCTTCAAAGTGCCGTGCCCTGGGTGTACGTAGACAAAAGGAAAAGTCCCTGCCCTCAAGAAACTTATATTCTAATGGAGGAAACTTTCCTACAACAAGATTTGTTTAGCCATTTCCCAACTGATGGGCATCTACTTTGTTTCCAGTCATTTGCTATTACAAAAAATGCATTTTGGTGTATATGTGAACTTCCTTTTTATAAATCACCTTGTTGGGATTTAAGGCTAGTAGTGAAATCTCTGAACCAAAGGGTATAGACATTTTGGTTATTTTATTTGCAAAATTCTAAATTACTTTCCAAAATAATTGTATTAATTCACAACTCCACAAACCATGCACTAGTTTGCCCATCTCTCCACAACCTCTTCAACATTTACTAACTTGACCATTTTTCAAAAACCCCTCCAACATTGACTGGTACCATCTTGTCATTTTGGCCAATTTGCAGAATGTGGGGTAAAATCTCCATCTGATTTTCAAGTTCCTTAGAACAAAGACTAGAGGTAAGTTAAACTGTGTATGATCTTTAGCCTATAGTACAATAGTCGATCATTCACCCTGTGAATTCACACTTGATAAGATCTAAATCATAGGAATTGGAAGGAAAAGATATCATTTGTCCAATAACCCCTTTGTCTTACAAATGAGAAACTGAGGCCCAAAGTGGAAAAGTTATTTGACCAAGATCTAACAGCAGAGTCCATCCAGATTGAAACAAGGAATACTGAGAATAGATTGTTGATTATTGATTGATGGGATCTTAGAGTCAGAGTTCAACCTATAGGTGACTGAAGATCCCCTCTAAAATATCCTCAGCAAATGTTTTGCAAATGTGTGAAGAACTCATTACCTTTAAAGCAGCCCATTCCTTTTTAAATCAACCTGAAATCTGCCTCTCGAAAACTTTCATCCACTGCTCCTAGGTTTATGAGGTCGAGGAAACAAATACAATCCCTTTTTATTTTATGTAAGCCCTTGAAATTTGTTCAGTCATCTTTCAGTCATATCTGACTCTTCGTGACCCCATTTGGAGTTTTCTTGACAAAGATACTCAAGTGGTTTGCCGTTTCCTTCTCCAGTTCATTTTACAGGCAAAGAAACAAAGGTAAAAACAGTTAAGTGATTTCCTGGGGTCACACAGCTAGTGAGTGTCTGAGACTGGATTTGAACTCAGGAAGACCAGATCTGGCACACTAGCCCCTGTGACACTTAACTGCCCAACCCTTCAAATACTCATAGATAACTTTTATTTTTGCCCTTTAGTCTTCTTTGTTCCAAGCTAGACATTCCCAGTGACTTCAAATGTTTGTAAGTTAAGCTGAATATCATTAGTTTTGTTGTTAAATTCATATTAGAATATATGCATCTTGAGAGAAGGAACTGTATTTCCGTTCCTTCATATCTCCAGAGCTTAGCACAGTAGCTGGAACATAATAAGCACTTAATAAATGCTTGTTGGCTGACAGATTGATTGATGTGGGCTGCACACATGTGGATCTGAGAGGCAATGGGATCTCTCTTGACATGAGTGTTGGACTTGGAGTTAAAAGACCTGGGTTCAAATGCTGCTTCTGACACTAACTTTGCGATGATGAGCAAATTACTTAACCTGTGAGTTTCAGTTTCTTCATCTATAAAATAGATACAATAATAATTGCACTACCTACCACATGCAATTGTTATAGGTAAAATGCCTCAAAAACATTAAATCACTACCTAAGTGTGAATTGTTGTTTCTTGTCATACTGCCATCAAGAGAACATAGGTACCGTGTTTTTCAATGATTGGTTTCTCTCAGAGTAAGCTATCCCAAATCTTGTAGATGGAGTATTCCATCTTGTTTGCCTTCTTTGACCCTGGCTTTGCTAGTGGTCCCTTTTCCTATTTCCTATCAGCTTTTCTTGGAGGCATATAGGTTGCACAGTAGTTAGAGCACTGGGCTGGGAGTGTTCAGCAATTCAGGAAGAACTGAGTTCAAATCAATCCTCTGATACTAGTTATGTGACCCTGAGCAAAACATTTAACTTCATTTTCCTCATTTATAAAAACGAGGGGGTAGACTAAACAGCCTTGCCTCTAAGGTCTCTCCCAGCTCTAAATCTATGATGCTATGACTAGAGTTATTTATTTACTAGGGGAGGAGGGAAGATTAAGGAGGAATATGCTAAGTGCTTTCAAATATTTGTAGGGCTTTCTGTGGGAAGAATTAAACTTGCTCTACTTGGCCCCAAAGCCAGTTGAAATTGCAAAGAGGTACATGTAGGTTTGATTAAGGGGAAACAGCCTGACAATTAGAGCCTAGACAGGTCATTGTGGAGAAGGGGCCTGCCTTCAGCATCACCATCCCAAATGCTGACCAGCTGCCACTACTGGTATAGGAGCCCTAGGAGTGGCAGACCCCCACCCACCCACCCAGACCACTGATTCTGCTTCCAGCCTAGCCCTCATAGATAGGTGAAGAAGCAACTCCTTTGGAGAAGGGGTGAGTCATCCTTACCAATTGTCAATTAGTTACCACTCACAGTACAGGAAAGATGACCTAGTTAGAGCAGCAAGGCACTCTGAGGGAGAAACAGGAGGCACCATATGCAGGGAAGTCAAACCACCACCACTTTGTCTGCTATCTTCCCTCAGACCCCAACAGAGACAGACTGGAAGCTTGAACCCAAGAGCCTTTGGAATACCAATGCTTCCAGCTTGGTGCCCACAGCCATCCTCCTGGGCAGAGCCCCTGCAGAAATGCAGCTCTACCACTGCTCTTGCAGAGGCTGCAGCCACAGCTACTGAAGACCCAGAAAAAAAAATTCTTGTCACCAAAGTCCTTGGCACCATCAAATGGTTCAGCATCAGAAACTGATATCATTTTATCAGTGTAAATGATATTAAAGAGGCATTATCATCTGCTTTGCTCCTGCATCCTAAGGATCAGCGGAACTTTCTATCTGACCTGCATCTAAAACCTTCCATGTCTCCCTAATTCCTCTACTTTAAAGTGGGGATAATAAGAGCACCTACTTCACAGGGCTGTTGTGGAGACCAAATGAGATAATATTTATAAGGTCCTTAGCTCGGTGCCTTGGTACATGCTAGGTGCTTATTCTACCCACCCATCCATTCATCCATCCGTCCATCAGAATGTGAGCAGGGACTGTCTTACTTTCCTATTTGTATCTCCAGCACTGAGTACAGAGTAGTGCACATAGTAAATGTGTAAATAAATTCTTTATTCATTCATTCAAGCAATCTAGTCAGTCAAAAAATATTAAGCACCTACTATGTACCAGGCACTATGCTAAGCACAGGAGATACAAAGGCAAAAGATGTTTCTTGTCCTTGAGGAGCACACAATCTAATGGAGGAGACAATATGCAAATGACTGTATACAAGCAAGATTTATACAGGAAGCCATAGAACCACTTGTGTAGTGGAGAGATTGTCATTTAAGAAAGCTTGGGTCTCTGATGTTCTTGGCAATTCAGCTGGTGATTCTCATCCAAAGCTAATGACTTCTTTCAACCAATAGGTGGCAGCAAATGCTATCTACAAATGGGGAACACATAGAATTAGTCCAGATTCTATTGAACCATTAGCTGGAAAGGATATAAAAGATTTTAGAATTTAGAGCTGGAAGGATTTTAGACAGCATCTGGTCCAACCTTCTCATTTTACAGATGAGGAAAATGAGGCCTGGAGAAGGTTAGCCACACAGCCAAAGCAGCATCCGTTAACTCTGAATCTAATGCTCTTTCCCCCACAATCTATTTAAGACCTGGAAACTCTCGCCCTGCTTCTCCTACCCACTAACCTCCGTGAAGTGGAGACCTGGTTGTGATGCACTCTAGAGACAGATAAAATTGTAAAACTATACTCCAATGTGTGTGTTTGGCTCATAAAATAAGGACCAAGAATCTGAATTTTGCAAGTATTTATTATCCACTTGAACAGTAGGCATACAAAGCATGGCAAGCAAAAATCTAAGCAATGATTCAACAATTTCAATAAGCAGAAACTCACTGAATTGGGCCAGATCATCACTGCAGTGTCTCTAGAAGTTGTATATAGCATGTATAACTACCTAGAATGTCTAATGGTTTCCATTTTTAGACTAAAGCAAATTGTAAAAACTACCCACTTAACAGCATCAGTAATGCTGTAAATGACTTTTTCTGGAGTGAGAAATGTTGCTACTCCAACAAACG